AATAGGCTGATAAATTCATTCTAGTCCTTTTCAGCACTATGGATACACTAATTATCTGCTTAATTCACTAATCCAACTCTCAGAAATTCGCTGTAGTCAAGTGACGAGTACAAGATAATTGAAATGCTTCGAAATGTTTCAATTTACTTGAGAGCATCATCGCCTGTCAGTGCTGCTGTCATCACCTCTAATCTTGCTTAAACGCGAACAAACGATAACAATATTCGCTTATTTTTGTTTATTGCTTATTGTCATCACCTTGCTTATTTGTTTAACAATATTTGATTTCACGAATGTAATATGTTTATTAAGCTGATAGTATTAACTTTATCGGCAGATTATCTGCTGCATATGAACTTAGAATGCCAGGACTCACGTCACTAACTATCGTCAACAGAGATAACTGCGNTTTCTATTCATTAATGTCATTTCTGCAGTCCAGTTTTCTCAGTAACATAATAATTTACTTAAATTCAAGCAACTACTGCGAAACAATAAAGCAGTGTGCTGCGAGGAACGATTCATTTCGACGACATTTTCCAAGGCAGCTACATTTTTCAAGGCGGCGTCTCCGTTTCCCGGTACTCATTCCTGTCGTCGACATTTTTCAGGGCAGCTACGTTTTCGAGGTTCCCGTCTAAAAATTTCGTGCCCGCCTTCCTCCATTCTCCACTACATTCCTTCCTCGCACCACACTATATAATAGAACATTCACCCTACAAATAACTGCATCTCATAAACTTAACGATCATCCATATCCATTGCCCAGCGTTCACCCGTCTTGCCGTCAAGAGTTTCACACGAAGTGGTTTGTTTGTTACACATAAAGACTTATGCGTGGTCAGTTTTGCTTGATTTCCTCAACTAAGCCCAAGCCGTTGTGCAAAAAATTTCCGAGCGATGTTTCATAAAATGCAGAGCCGGAGCAAGAACTGCACTAGAAAATTTCCAAAAAAAGTGCACAGCTAAAGTAGAAGGCGAACTTTTAGAAGTACGAAGTTGGAGCCGGAGACAGGCCGAAATTTCAACAGTGCGGAGTTGGAATCGAGACGACTTTATTCAAATTAGGCAAGGAATACATTTTGAGTGAATGCGGTCCATGTTTGCTGAGAAAATGCTCACTGACGGCGTATTTTTGCTGCAAATATTGATCGAATTCATTCCAAGTAGGTTTTTTTTTAGGTTACTGAAGATGAAATTCAACAGTCATAACAATTTTTCAGTTTACTTTGCTGAAGAGTTTCCATGGATCTAGTGGTTATGCACAACATAATTGACGAACAATAAGCAACATTGCGAAAACTTCTTGCTTTCATTCAGTTGATCGAAGGCGCTTGCTGAAAGGAAGACAGTCAACCAAATGAGGACGTCTCAAGGCGATGTTTCAAAGCATATGTTAAGGAGTGTTGAGGGAAT